AACTTCAGAAGTTCCTTCTTGTGCTAAGATTTTATTTATTTATATTTTACATTATTATTTTTTATTATATTTATACATTTCTATATTATATGTTTCTATATTCGTTTTATTATATATTATAGCTAATATATTTATTTTATTATTCTTTTTTTATTATATTTATATTATTTTTATAACAGTCATTCTTTGAACACCAACTGTGTCTGAATTGCAGCCTGGGTGACCTTGGACCAATCACTTTCCTCTTCTGGGCCTCACTTCCTTCACATGTAAAATAGAAGGTTTGGTCTGATTAATCTGCAAGGCTCCTTCAATATTCTAGGTTGGGTTTTTTTCGCTGAAGACCGAGCCAGGGAATGGGATGGCAGAGGGACCTGTTAAGTTGGGCCTGGCTGTGGTAGCCCATCAGCAAATCCCCTGTTCCCACCACATCTCAGTATCTGGGTGTAGCCAAGAAAGGAGGGTTGGAAAAAGGTGCTACTATCATCCCTTTCTCTAGAAGTCATTGAAAGTGTCAAGCTCATAAGTACAAGATGGGGAGGCATAATTAGTCAGATGGCCCTTTGTCTGAAAAAGACCTGGGGTGTTAGTGGATTGCCATCTCCACCTGTGAATTAGCGGTGGGATTCAGATGTTTTTCTGCTGATGAAGCTTGGGGGGCTGCATTGAGAGAGGCAGCTTCCAGGAATAGGGAGGTGATAATCCTGCTGTGGTCTTCTGTTCCTGTAAGATCACATTTGGAATATTACATTCAGTTCTGGGAACACCCAAGGGATTTTATAAGGCAACCTGAGGAAGACAAACAGGATGTTAAAAGGCACTGGGTCCGCCCCAGACCAGGATTGGTTGACCTTGGAGAAGAAAAGGCTCAGGGAAGACTTACTAAGCCATCTTCCAGTATTTAAAAGACTGCTGTTGGCTCCCAGAGGGCAGACCTGGAAACAATGGGGAGAAGTTATAAATACATCAATTTCTGGAAAAACTGTAACAATTCCATCGGTCCCCAGGTAGAAGGAACTGCCTCTGGCAGTGCTGGGCGTCCTCTTACTGAGCTCATCACACCAAGGTTGGGAGACCACTTCTTTGTTTTTAATGTAACCAGCAGGTATTACTGTGGGCTAAACTTGACTAGCAACTCTTTTTACATTTTTTAGGAAGGATTTTTGTAGGGTATGGGTTGGACTAGATGGCCATGAGCTCCCTTCAAGCTTTAAAACTCAGTGATTTCCAACCCTACTCCACAGGGTCCTTTTTTTTTTTTGGTTGGGCAATGGGGGTTAAGTGGCTTGCCCAGGGTCACACAGCTAGTAAGTGTTAGGTGTCTGAGTTCTGATTTGAACTCAGGTCCTCCTGAATCCAGGGCTGGTGCTCTATCTACTACACTGCCTAGCTGTCCCCCCCCCCTTTTTTTTCTTTTCAGGATCCTTAATAAGAACATGGGAAGAAAGGGAGTTTATTCAGTAGGCACAGTATCCCATCCCAACATGGACACTGGAAAGGCAGTAGACAAATCTGAAGAGATTCTAGCCAAGAATTCAGCTCTAACCTCTTTCCCTGTTTCTTTACATTCATACCGGCGTACCAAAACCTGGAAAGATCTGGCCTGGTGATGAGGGAAGAGGACTGGAAGCCTAATAGGGCTCAGAGAGCTGGCTAAAGGAGTTGGCTGGTTCTTATCAGCTTCGTCAAGTCAATGGCAGAAAAGTGTAGTAGCCGGCCTGAAAAAAAAAAAGGAGGGAGAATATGGGCAATTTTAATTTTTTCATGACTTAAAGATGTTTCCTGGGTTTTCCCTGGTTGGTGACAATGACTCAAGTAGATTTATTACTTTTGTCCCCACTAGGGAATCTTTGGACCCTGCCCTCTGATTAAGTAAGCCCTTTTGTCCGAGCCTTGGTGATCCGAGGGCTGTAGACTGTCAGGGCCTGTTCTGGGCTTTGGTTAACTCGCTTTGCCTCTGCCAGTTTATTTCCAAAGGGTTAGTCTGTGGACCCAGCCAGACTAGAACAATAAGGGGCTGAACTTCAACTGAACAGGGAGGGCTTTAGGTTAGAGATGGAGAAAAAAATGATTAGAACAAGGGAAATGCCACACTGAGTCAGGCCAGGGGCCGCCCATCTTAGGGTTCCATCTCTGCCAGGGGATACTTCCTGACTGAGAAAGATATTCAGTGTGGAAATTAGTTACTGAGAGAAGTCATACCTTCTCCTTTCCCAGAGATTAGGAAGAATAAGTTATACACCCCTTCTCTGTTGAATGCAGAAGGTCTATGATCGATTCAAGACTACCATTGTCCCTGGAAAGGGCATGTCAGTGGACCACCTTATTGTTCCACTCAGCCTTCTCCATGATTTCCCAGACTAGAACTCCCTGCCTTGGCCACCATTCCCATAGAGATGAACTCCCCTATATGTAAACTTTTTTTTTTGAATTTTTTTTATTAATTTATTTTGAATTATCAACAATCACTTCCATAAGGTTTTGAGTTTTTAATTTTTCTCCCTCTCCATCCCCACCTCCCTCCCATAGAGGGCATGCAGTCTGATATAGGCTATACATATACATTCCTATTAAACATGTTTTCACATTAGTGATGTTGTAAGTGGCAATTAGAACCAATAGGAGGAACCACCAGAAAGACGAAACAAAAAAAACAACAAAAGAAAAAAAATAGCAAATAGTATGCTTCGATCTGCATTCAAATTCCATAGTTCTTTCTTCTTTGTGGATAGCATTTCCCATCAGGAGGCCTCTGGAGATGTCTTAGATCCTTGTATTGCTGGGAAGGGTTAAGTTTGTCAATATTAGTCATCGCACATCGTGGCTGTTACTGTGTATGACGTTCTGGTTCTGCTCACTTCACTCCGCATCGGATATATGTAAGCTCTTTAAGCAGTCTTTGGCTTTTGTATCTTCATTGCTTGGCACATAATACACACATAATAATTTTTTTTCGTTCATTCCTTATCACCTGTTTGGGAGATCCCATCTCAACTCGAATGCCAGAGCTTAGTCGCTGGTCCCATCAGAGTTTAGGGGACAGCCCTGAGGAATTGGGAAGAAGTTCTCTAGTACCAAAGTCTTTGCCTGTGTGCTTCCTGCCATGAGTATTGGTTGATTTCAGTCAGCCAGACTGAATTGTCTTTTAGAAAAGGATATTACTAAGTAGGGGTGAGAATAATAGTAGTGAAGAATAGTTGGTACAAAATATCTTCTCCCTGCCTTAAAGTCTGTGACCAACTTTCCCCTGAGTATGTACTGAGTCTAGGGAAAAGGGGACTCGAGCTTAGGGAGAGACAGGAAAAGAGTAACTCAGTTCTTACAAGTCCTTTTGCTGGAGTCTTCATGCTCTTGGGCGTGGTATAGTTTTGTTGGTGGACTCTTTGTGAAGCCTTGAATATATGTCTGTCCTTGTCTCCAATCAGCTGTTCTGGATACTGCCAGGAGATACCTGTGGAGAAATGTGAAGTTCAAAGTGCAAAGGCCTCCAGACCCTTGGAAGCTCATAAGGCTTTTCTCCAAGAAAATCAGGATAGGAGGAGGCTGATGCCCTGAGAGAAGCAATTTGCTCTCCTTTATGGGAATTCCCCTATTCCTGGCTAGTTTCATACAGCCCCGGAGGGGGTGAACAAGGTCCTCAGCCAATCCAGATAGAACCTAGGGGGGCTGCTAGGCTGCTAGGCAATGTTCACACCTAGTAAACAATCAACTTGGGTTCTCACCTGATAAATGTACTAAGGCTAAATGGAGGTGGAGTGGATTTCAACCCTGCCATTGTAATTAATGAATTCATTCATTCTTTTATTCCTCAGTCTACTAGATCAAGGTACCTAGGTCTAGTTAAGTGACTTGGGGATTAGAATACCTGGGTTCTTCTTCTGGCTCTACTGCTAATTAGCTGTTACTCTGGCCCAGTCATTTAGCCTGAATTTAGCTTCCTTTTCTGTAAGATGTGGAGTTTGAGTTTCCTTCTAGTTTTGAGGACATGTGCTGCCTCTTCTACCTTGGTTTCTGGTCTCCAAGTCAAAGGTACATACTCAGAGGTCCTGGCTTTCAGTTCCTTTGCTTGACATTGTGGTAGGAAGGTGCCTCTTTTAGTAGACTGAGCTGATTTCCCTTTAAGGGGACTGGGAGTTGTCTTTGGGATTTGTTGGCTCGGGAGACTGGAACCTAAATTACCGATTTGATTTCCTTGTCCTCAGACGTAAAAGGTCAGTCTCCTGGGGAACTGTGGCTCCTGACGTTTTATCGAATTCCTGTTTCCCTGCTGGGACAGCCTCCTCACTGATTGTGGCCAATTGTTATAGTGAGCTCAAAAGAGAAAAGGGAGTAACATTTTATTTGAATTTAATTATGAGTTGTATCTCTTTTAATATTGTCATGAACATAATTGGTTTGTATTGCATTTTATGGTACAAAAATCCCTAATTACACTCTAGCCCTGAGCTGAATTATTAGAGTTAGGTCGGAGTTAGGTTTGGCCCAGAATATTTACTAGGTATGTGATGCTGGGCAAGTTACTGTTACTTCTCTGTTCCTCAATTTCTTCATCTGTAAAATTATTTTGATGATATCTGTACTAACTCCTAGGGCTGATGTAAAGCTTGAATGAGTTTACATGGGTAAAACACTCTGCCAATTCTAACACGCTCCAGCAATGTAAGGTGGTATTATTTTGGGGCAGGATGGTTCGTGGAAAGAACTCTGGCCCTGGTGTCAAAGGACCTAGGTTCAAATCTCACATCTCCTAGTTATATGTGTGACCTTGGACAAGTTACTTAATTTCCTTGGATCTCAGTTTCCCTGTCTGTAAAATAACTAGATGGATGTTGAGGTCCCTTCTCTCTCTAGACTTAGAATCCTAGGGGCCAGAAGGGACAAAAGATGTTTAGAAAAGACCACCATGTATTGTCTATTTTCTAATCTAAAAAGCTGTCCTGGATACCAAATAGGTATTTAAATAACTGGGGAGTCACTCTGGGGTGTTTTTCCCTCTTCAGGTTCTAGAAGAGATTGACATGATGGGAAGCAACAGGATGCAGATCTTCCTCCTCGGTCTCCTGGTCCTGGCGATGTTCTGTAGTCCAGGTGGGTCAGGTGGGATCCTGCAACCCGGGAATGAGCCACACTTCCAGCCCCAGGCTAGCTGACAGTCCTGTCCTTGGGCCCGCCTCCTTCCTGGGTTCCAGTCCCCTCTGCTGTCCTGACATACAGCCCCTTGTCCTCTGCCAATGGCCCCTTCCTGTGTTACAGCCCATCCCTCAGTCACAGAGCCAGCCAAGCGAGGGCGTCTGGGCTGCTCTCTAAGAGAGCACGGTGAGGGGAGAAAAGAGGAATGAATTTGTGTTCCTAGCTCCAAGCATTTCCTTCTCCTTTGTCTCCGGGCCTCAGCTTTCTCCTGTGGACAAGGAGCAGATTAGACCAGAGGAGGTCCAAAGTCGCTGACAGCTTGAGAAGCTCTAATCTAGAGGGCATCTTCTAAATATATGTGTGTGTAGACATATATACACACATAACATTTACACATGCCTACTACACTTATATGTATAGGTGTTGTGAACATGCATACGTATTTCTACAACGTAACATTTATGTATGTCCCCAGCACATATACACGCATATGCGCACGCACACACATATATGTGTATCAGAATATAACTTATATGGCTAAACACACATGTACACATACACGTGCACACCATACATGTCACATCAGTGTAAATGTGCACTCACGCACATATGCGACGTATTTCTACATTGCACTGTGTACATGTGTATATACATGCCCATATTCACACATAATGTTTATATGCATGACACAATATGTGTGTGCATCATACGCATATACATATAACATTTATACATGTACACAACAATATGTAGATATGCATACGTATATGCATGCACACCAGAACATGTTTATATATGTTCACAACACACACGTATATGTCTATATACACATAGCATATTCATATGTGCATACAACACCCGTATATATGTGCACACAATACATAGATGTATAGCTATATGGTAGTTCACATCTGTGTATGGCATATGCATATGTGTTTGTGCATGTATATATACGTGTGTGTATATATACACACACGTATATATATATACCCAGTATATATATATATACCCTATATATATGTATATATGTATGTGTATATATATATATATATATATATATATATATATATACACATACACACATATATACAGTGTGGGTGTGTGTAGGTGTGTAGGGGGCATGTAGAGCAGGATTTGGAATCAAGAAGACATGGGTTAATGTTGGATTAGGAACAGAGAATAAGCTACTGCAGAAGGACAGAGGCATTGCAATGGGATGTGGAATGATCAGGGAACTTCCTCATATGTCAGATGAGGGGTTGGATTCATTGATGGCTAATCCATGATCTGTGACTACCTGGTTTAGTCGTTTAAGTTGTTTTGGAGTTTTGTGGGCAAGGGATGTGGGGGATGGTCAGAGAGATAGACGTGTTTATATGAAATACACCGAGAAACCAATGTCTCTGTTATATAGGTTGATTCAGAAGATCCAAGGATTTTTTTCCTTAAGTGGGAGGATCTCATAGAATCCTAGATTTAGAGCTGGCCGGACCCTTAGAAATCATTTAGTTGAACCCCACATTTTACAGGTGATAAAAATAAGCCCTAATGAGGTTAAGAAACTTCTCCAAAGGCAGAGGGTAAAAAGACAAAGAACTGAGATTCACACCCAGGCCCTCGACTACCGTGCCTTTGATCGTAACAGTGGAAAGGTGGGGAAATCTTGTTTCAGACTTGTCTGTTAACGTGGACCACATCCCACATCCTTCCAAAAGAGAGAAAGAGAAGCAGAAATAGAATGTCAGTTTCATTTCTTCTGGTCTTTCCAGATAGGTGGGTCTTTCCAGGATGTGGTGGGCTGAAACCATAGAACTATAGTATATTTTAGTGGGAAGGTTACCTTAGACATCCTTCCTCATTTTATGGAGGAGGAAAATAGCTCCCAGAGAGATAAAGGAACTTGCCCAAGGCAACCTGCATGGTTTGAAAGCATCTGAGCTGTCACTTTACCCTAGTCGTTCTGATGTCCAGGGTATTTGACCTTTATTAATCCGATTCATATAGTGAAAATAGCATTGGATTAGGTCAAGCCATGTAGCCTCGCTCAGGCTTAGTTTCCTCATCTGTAAAATGAGGCAGTTAGACAAGATGACCTCTAACTTTTCTTCCAGCTGTAAATATATCACCCTATGATCCAGTCCATTTATCTTTCCAAAATCCCGTTTTACTCATTCTCTGCATTTGCATAAATTTTATATAATTTAATTTCCCACATCTTGCCCTGTGTCCCCCTGCAGACTAATAGGTAACTTTAGCCATGCTAAGTTAGGTCTAGACTCATCTCACCTCTACCACTTCCTAGTTGTGTGATCACAGAAATCATTTAAATTCTTCCAACCTTAGTTTCTCTGTGTGTAAAATGGGAATGCTAACACTAGCCCTGTTGACTTCACAGAGTTGTAAAGAATCAATGATAAAGGAAAAAAATAGTAATTGGTGTGTAGCAGAAGATAGCAGCAAAGTGTAAGAAGTCAAAGAGGCTGGAGTCCAAGGACCAGAAAAGCTGGTTTCAAAGATCAGCTCTTCCATTTACCTCTGGTGTCAACCTGGGCTCTTCATTTCCCTGGGCCCATGTTTCCTCATCCATAAACATGAGGAGATTGGACCAGATGACTTCCAAGGCACCTTCCAGTTCTTGGCCTACAAAATGAATGATTCTGAGTTTCAGTTGACTCACCCCATGAGGCTGCATTTGACAAGCCTTGTAAGCCTTGACAGGCCGTTGAGGGTTCCTGAAATTGGATCACGTGCTGTGTGTGATGTTGAAGGAAGAGGCTGTGTTTTAATGGATGTTTGTGAGTCAACCAGAACCTGGATGCTCCTCATTTGAGGGACAAATGTTTTTTTTTCCTTTTGTTTCATTTTTAATCATATTTTGGATTGTTCTGCCCTTGTACTGAACAGCAACAAATATGAGCATGTCCATCCGCAGAGAACAGAAAAAGAGGATTGTGGGTGAAACTCCAAGTCTCCATTATGTACAACTTGTTCTTCTGTGATTTTTAATTTCTTTCTTATTCTGAAGTGAACCCCCTGCCCTAAGGGCATTTCCATACCCATAGCTGAAGTTAGGAATCTTCCTTTAATACCACTTCTTTCCATCTTTAAAGTATATAAGAACCCTAAAGTGGTTCACTTGATCTGTTCTTCCCTCTGAACACCTTCCTGTCTTCTTCTATGAATCTTTTTTTCAAAATGAATATTTTTATTAATTTATTTTAATTTATCAACAATCACTTCCATATGCCTTCGAGTTTAAAATTTTTCTCCCCCTTCCTCCCCACCACCCTCCCCAAGATGGCACACAATCTGATATAGGCTATACATATACATTCCTATTAAACATATTTTCACATTAGTGATGTTGTAAGTACTCTTCTACGAATTTTTTAAAATTTTAACAACAATTCTCTTTCTTTTCATTACTGTTCATACTATCCTTAACCCTTCTCCCCACCATTAACTAAGAGAAAGAATGAGGGGGAAAAATCCCTTATTTTCCTATTGAATTTGATGTACTCCTATATCAGACTCTGTGTGGGTGTGTGTGTGTGTGTTCAACTCTACTTTGTATCAGATAAGAGTAAGGTTCATCAGATGCCTCCTTCACCCACTTCCTTCCTTCTCACACACCCCAATAATGACGTAGGCTATTAATCATATTTTGGATTATTCTGCACTTGTACTGAACAGCAACAAATATGAGTATGTCCATCCGCAGAGAACAGAAAAAGAGGATTGTGGGTGAAACTCCAAGTCTTGTTCTTCTGTGATTTTTAATTTCTTTCTTATTCTGAAGTGAACCCCCTGCCCTAAGGGCATTTCCATACCTACAGCTGTCCCCTTTTCCTTACTTCTTTTTTTTTCTTAGAAAGAGATAAGCTTTAATAAGAAGACCATTTAAATCTTTGTAGAGCAAAGAACAAAAGGCATAATACATTTTGCCCTCTAGAAAACAGAAAAAAAAAATGAGCGATCAAGCACTGAATTCTTCCTGCAGCACCTATTAGCAAAGAATGAAACTTGGCCAATTTGATTGCCAGAGAACTTGGGAGATAGGATCCACCCTCAACCTAAATCCACAGAAATTGATAAAGCTCCTACTAAGAGCTACGTGATAGTTATATAATGTAAAAAAATATATGTCTCTTTCCTCAAGGATCTTGCGTCCTCTCAAGGGACAAAAATATAACACATAAATAATATATATGTTTGTATTTTTCTATTTATCCATCTGTAGACATACTTCTATAGATAGATATATACACACACACACATACACACACATATATATATATATATGTATATATATATGATATAATTATTATTATATTATATTATATATAGATATAGATATAGATATACACACACACACATACATATACACATAGTCTGTCTTCCCAAGAGCAGAATTACTTTTCATGGAGACCCATGTTCCCAATTCTGATTGGGGCAAAAATGTAATGTTGCCTATTTCAACAACTTTGTTGTGGCTCAAAAAATGGAAAAATGCATATATGAAGGAAGTGGGAGAGGACTGATGATGGCTTGCAGATAATTCGAAGTAAATTCAGTATTGCTCACACTTAAATCTGAATTTTGCTTGTGGCACCAATGGTATTTATGGCCAGTTGAGTCAAATTCAGCCTAACATTCATGGCATATAGACAGGCAGAAAATAAGTGTAACTGCTGTAAATGAAGTTTATCTTCAACAGATGCACTTTCCTCTTTTGTTAACAGCTTGTATTTTGACATCTCCCTCCATACATACCCAAATGCCCTTATGCTGCCTCCTTTATTCCCAAATGTTTTCTACAGTGACAGTTTATCAGGATCCAGACTAGAGTGACTTCTCATCATCAGCGTGTAGTTGAGAATCCTAGATACACAAAATGTCTTCAGTTGTGGCTGTTTCAAAAGCCACTCACTCTCTGGCTCCCCTTCACGGACAAATTC